AATTCTTGAGTAGTTAGTTTAGTTAGTTTAACGCGCGAATATAGTCCAGTCCACAATATTCCTGCTGACCCTCGCCGGCCGAGTATATATCTTGGTTTCAGAGCCCAGCGGTACCCATGACCACATTTTTGTTCTTGTCACAATTTTGCGTGTTTTGAAATGGGGGCTCCTGCTCGACGAGATGAGGGATGTGACTATTACTGGTCACTCTCCCTCTACTTGGCAGTGACTCTGTTAGCTCACTCTCACTCACCCACTCACTCAGTCACTCTCACTTAACTAAAAAATAAGCGGCTCAGTTTTAACCTTGTGGCAGCTTACAGATTATTTGATCACTGGACTGCGTACAACGGTGCACTAATGTCTCCGCCCGTCAGTATCGAATACATGCAATACAAATCTGTCAGAGAAGTTGCCGCATCTACAAGGGGTATAACTCTTAATTCGTGCGTTTTAGGTTACTCAGTTCCTTCTTTAATGAAGTTGGGTGCCGTATAATAATGTTCCTTGATACTTAATAAGTTCGTCAAGTGACTGGGATTCTGTATTCAACTAAAATTGTATTTATTGCATAAAACCAACAAATTAACTTCCGAAACGCTGCAATGGAGTGGTAGCAACCATAGTTAAAATTCGGGAGCTTCTCTGCCTGTTGCCTGCTTCCCTAATCTTCTCAGCTCTATAGTCCATGACAGGCTTCAGCTTCCTTCATAATTAGCCTTCATGTATTTCGTTCCTGTGCCTTCCCTTTCCATTTTTTCCCCCTTGGCACTACAGCCCCAGTGGGCCTAGGCCTACCTCCATGAATTTCTCCGTTCACTTCGGTTTTTCTTGATCTTACACATTTGGTAAGACTCCTTGGGCGGGTGATCAGCTCGTCGCAAGTCCTCTTTTTTTCCTTGGCACTACAGCCCCGGTGGGCCTAGACCTACCTCCATGAACTTCTCCGTTCACTTTGGTTTTTCTAGATCATACATATTCGGTAGGATTCCTTGGGCGGGTGATCAGCTCGTCGCAAGGTCTCTACCTGTACACGAACACAGAAAAACGCACACACACACAAACTAAACATCCATGACCTGAGTGGGATTCGAACCCACGATCCCGGTTTCAAAGCGAGCGAAGACAGTACATGCCTTAGACCGCTCGGCTACCGTAACGGGCTCCAATCCTAATTAGTCTTTTGCAACCTCTTCTACGAGTTCACCATTCAGTAAATATTTCGGAGTTCTCCTACTCTCCACACGCTCCACATGGCCCAGACAACAAAGCCTAAGAGATTTTACGTGTCTCACTGTGTCCTCCTGTAGCCCGGTTGCCTATCTGAAATATTTCATTGCTCTCTTCAGTACCTCCAGATAATTGCTCTGATAATTCCTTAAAATAGGGCAACTACTCGAAACTGAAGCGAATACAGGTGGAGACACTCTGACGGAAACAAGATTAAAGTAGCTTATTCACGGAGTCGAGCCTCTCTTTAAAGTCAATATCTGCTCAGCTAGTCTAGAGATTCTCCGTTTTTTTTTTTTAATTTAAAGGTTCATCTCGTCTTCACAACAACTCTATATTTGTCCCCATTCAGAGACTTGTGGATCCAGTCCACACCCTCTTATCCTTTATCATCATCCTGATGACATAAGACGAGGAAACCAACANAGATCTCCCAACTTGTCTCTTCAGGTTTTCCGACCAAGACGTTTTATGTATTTCCTTTCACTCCGGTATGTACTAAATGCCCCTTCCACCTTACCATTATTAATATCACATCATCCTGATGACATAAGACGAGGAAACCAACACTCGTCTTCTAAATAATATAAAAAGAAGGTTTAAATAAAAAGTAAGAGACGAACACATAAAGTCTTCTAATCACACGTTAAATCCTAGAAGGCTGACCTCTTGTACTCTTCTGTACTCCTAGTTCCACTTCCCTCCGAACTTACAGCTCACGGCTCTCGTTACATAGCCAAGGAACGGACATGGACCTGCAGTAAACATATATCACGTGATTGCTATCCGGCCAGTCTATTGGGGCGTCGGTCGAATCTACAGAAAACATAGGTTCCTCTATTGTTACGTGTTGGACCGTGTTTACAGAGCTGTTTCCTAGCAAACCTTGATCAAATCCGTTACAATATTAATTATTTATATTAATGTAAAGTGAGAATATAAGACGCCACTACATTTCATAATAACATAAAGGTAAATACAGAGTTGTTCCAGTGCTAATTAATTAAGGACCATATCATGAATATATCTGGGAGATGGAGATGAATGGTCAGCTTCATGCCCGAGCCGCTTTATCCCCGTTATCCATCTGATAGGAGGCTGGGTGGGCCTCATAATTACTTGCTTAATAATGTTCAGTACAGGAATATCATTTTTTTAATGCTAGTGGGGTGGCACTAAGTCCCTTTTACTGCGGCCAATTCTGGCCTATTGTATCAGCCCCAGATGGTAGGTGAGGATGGTTGTGGAGAAATTGGTGGAATGAAGATTAGCAGGGGAAACCGAAGTACTCGGAGAAAACCTGCCCAAGCGCCACTTCGTCCACCAGAAATCCCACTTGACCAGACCCCGGGATCGAACCCGGACCTCCGCGGTGGAAAGCCGGCGACTAACCGCTTGAGCTATGGCGCAGCCCTGTCTGAAAGTTGTTAAGTTCTTTTCATATTTCCTTGTAATTTGTGTAAAAACCGACACAAGAGTTAAGGCACTTTTACACTATGTTTTCAAGTACAAATCATCGACATCTGAAGAAGGTCTACTACTATATTGTGGCGTATTTATGGTTTATTTCGTGGAGCTTTCAGTAACTCGACTGTGCAGCGTCAAATACAAGAATGATTGGCAAGTGATGAATTGGGAAGGATGTGGAAATAAACGGAAATGACGTAATTGAGATAATATCCCGGAATTTGTCTGAAGCGACTGAGGGATATCTCGAAAACCTGTAATACAAGCCGATCTCTGGACCAAGATTTGAACACGGGACATTTCGAATGCGAAATAGAGATGCTGCTTACTCGACCACGATTTTAAAACTACAGCGGAGTGTAGTAAATGTCATGTGGAAAAGATATCCCCTTAGCGGATAACACTATCGCCATCTCTAATTCACTGTCATCATTATAATTACTATATATACACTTACTTACTTACGGAGCTGAGCCCTTCTTGAAGAGCCGCCAATTCTGCAGTAACTTAAGAATTTCCCGGCATTTTATGGAACCCGAAGGTTCATTACCGTGTTCACAAGAGCCATCCACTTGTCCCTATCCTGCGACAGACAAATCCAATCCATCCCATCCAATCCTATCTCTCTAAGATCCATTTTAATATTGTTCACCCACCTACGCCTTGGTCTTCCCAGTGGTCTCTTTCCTTCTGTCTTTCCCACCAATATCCTATATGCATTCATCGTCTCCCCCATTCGGGCTACATGCCCTTCCGACCTCATCCTCCTTGACTTGATGATTCTAATTATACTTGGAGAAGAGTACAAGTTATGAAGCTCCTCATTGTACAGTCTTCGTGTCCGCACTCGTTATGTCAGAGACTTCTCCGTCTTCAGTGTTTGTACCTGAGTTAAAGGTTGACCTTCTGCCCGGTGTGCCTATGCAGCCAACGTAGTGAGTAAACACATCGATATATTTAAATTCTGACCAGTTTCTCGAACACCATTTATAAACACGTCCATTGGTCTTTTTCCAAAGCACCTTCCTGTCTGTTGGTATACTTTCCGATTCTTGGCATTTTTATACTTTCTAAAACAAGACAGAAATAGTCTTATACATATATATGTCTTTGTCCTACTAGTTAGCACATATGCTTTTATTTGCCTTATTGTAATTACCAGTGTCGACAAAGCCGTTTCTGTAATTGGCCTCGCAGCCGTTTGTTCCGCACATAACCAATAATAATAATAATAATAATAATAATAATATTATTATTATTATTATTATT